CTCAAACATAAATTGTATCTAGACATGGCCAAAACACAAGCCGATGGGCTGAGTTTCATGGACCCTGAACCGACACGGACCTAGGTTGTGCCGGGTCCATGGCTCGGCGAGCTGAGCTGGACCCGCCTAAATGAAAAAAAATTAAAACAATGTGTTTTTCTCGTGTCGGACCAGACCCGGCCCGTCGAGGCCAAGGTCGACAAAACCAAGACCCTGGACCGGCCTGATTGAAATTCGATCTGGGCCCGAACCCGTGGTCAACGGATTTTACCGGGCCGGGTCCGTGCCCGTCCTGTGGCCACGTCTAATTGTATCTCACACATTTTTGTAACGGTTGGCATTCATCATAGTTTTGCAATAAACATATATACAATTAGGAGATTTAGGCAAAAAGCAAAAAAGTAACACGAGATCTAACAGTAATAATTACCTTAACTGGGTCGTCGATGTATGGTTGAGATTGTAGAATTCAACCAATTTCTTTTCCTTTCTCTTTTGTGACCACCACAACAAAACACACACACACACACACAAATAAAAATTGTTAACACTTATTTTATGAAAAATAAACAAATTTGAAAAAAAAAATATATATATATATATATTGCAATTAAAATAAAATACCTCAGAGAAATTTATTAGGATCTCTGTTTTGCAATAAAGTGAAGGAGCCGTACTAAGAGACAAAGAAGTCTCAACTCCCAAATTTGCTGCGAGAAGAACAATAAATAAACCAAATTTGTATTTTTTAAAAAAAAAAAGTTACCATTTAGATAAATTCAGTAACAAAATGGTAAAATATACACAGAATATAATGAAATCCCAACACCTTTTAATTACCTGCGGTGAATATTGCAACATCCTTAAAACGATACTGTTCCTCCATATTGTCAGAAGGCCTGGCTGTTGTTGTGTTGAGACCCAGAAAATCAATTTCCATTTTCAAGATTCTCAAAATTATATTATGTTAAATAAGGGAATATTTAATTATTAACTTAAAAAATTGAAAGAACTCGAAGAGTAGCTGTGTGCAGAGTGCAAGAGGAGAGAGAGAGAGAGAGAGAGCTATTGGAAAAAGAGAGAAAATTTAATGTGTAATTCTAAATTATATACCGGCCTCGTTTACTTATAGCATCTACAATGCATTAGGTCTAGTTTTTCCGATGTGACATGTTAATAAACCTGAGTCTTGTTTGGCATGTATAAAACTATGTAAAATTAACAAAATTCACTTCAAATACAAAGAGACTAGGTCTCTACTTGAGTCTAAAATGAACATAAGAGTAGACTGGGTCTCTTTTTCTGGTTGTCACATAAGTAAGACCCAGTCTACTTTTATTTGCATTTGAGGATATATTTTTTTAGACTGTGTCTATTTCTTGAGTGACATATAATTTTTTTTTATGGTTGAACCCAAAGTATTGTGGATGCTCTTACCAAGATGAGATGGAATACGGGCCATAAACAAACTTATCTTGCGTTTACTATACGTGATTGAAACTAAGATTTAGCCCATGTGGCATGTATGTGGCAGGTGGGTCCCACGCCGATATGCATATGTGGCTGAATAATTAAATCTCATCAAATAGGTAAGATATTTTTATCCCACTAAGGAAATAACTATTTTGTTAACAAAAAATTATATTATTTAATTTAAATAATTTAAGATAATTTTGTGTGTAGGAGATGAGAGTATATTTGTCTCGTGCTATTTCTCATATCATTTTGTCCAGTTTAGTAAATGTTTGATTTTTTTTTTTGTAGGCAGCAACGATATCTGGAGCAATGCCCGACTAATCCGTTGGTCGACCCGGGTCGCACACCTGACAGTGGTGGGTAAGTCTTCCAACAAGGGTTTTCTGCATCCACAAAGATCGAACTTGATACCTTGCTTAAGCGGCATCAAACTGCTCAACACTTGAGTCAACCCTTGTTGCTAATGTTTGATTGTTTTTACCTTAAGATATATCATATTTTATAAAGTGGAAGGGATAAATCTATCAAAATCCCATTCAATCCCATTCAATGAAGTAGAAGATGGCCATAGTGGATATTTATGGTTTGGGGTTCTTGTGATTAATTATGACCAATTGAATGAGTCAGTAATGCTCCCCTACCCACGGTGGGTACATGTTAATATGTCTACCGTTAATGTGGCATGCACACATTGGTGATATATTTTTTTGAACATATTAACATCACCTATGTGTGCATGCCACATAAGCGGTGGGCATAGCAACATGTGCTCACCGTAGGTAGGGGAGCAATATCCTTGAATGAGTAACTTTTTGCAAAGTGAGAAACACGTGCTTATTGATTTGGAGTGACCAAATATGATGGAAAAAAAAA